CCACTGAATGAACCAGCCAGGGCCCCTATTGTTTTTAATGCATATGATTTCTTCATGGCTTAGCTCATTTGCTTAAACTGTTTTCTTCATCTGAAATGCTCTCTGCTACTTTTTACCTAGTGAATTCCTATATATCCTTGAAGGCCCAGATCTGATGTCCTCGCCTTAGAGCTTCATTGGCACTCTAAGGAGGCTTAGTATCCCCTCTCTGTGTGTTCCCATGGCAGTTTTTTGTTTTTGTTTTTAAGTAATCTTTGGCCAATGTGGGGCTTGAACTCAACGATCCCAAGATCAAGTCCAGCCAGGTGCCCCTCCACAGCAGTTTATAAGTAACATTAGGATGTACTTACATAGCAGTCTGTACCAGACAGGTTTTCAGTACTTTACATATAATAACTCATTTGGTCCTCACAACAGCTCTGTGAAGTAATATCATCATCGTTGTTGTTAGTCCTATTTTTCAGTTGAGGAAACTGAGTGGAAGAGTTAAGTGATTTTCCTGAGCGTGAGCTGGGGTTTGAAACCAGGCGAGTGACTCCAAAGTCTGTGTTCTTACTCACCATCTTCTTTTGCCTCCTTATTCTGCTACAGCGCATATCACCTATAACTATCTCTGGCTCCAGTTGGAGTGGAAATTCTGTCAAGATGTCAGTCCTGTTTTGAGACAAATGTAGGACATACATTGGGCATCCAACAGATACTGAGGCTAGTTCCTGCAAGGCATGACTCTGTGTCTAAACATAAACATGGCTGCTTTTCATTGAGTGCTTACCATGTGTCAGGCAGGCCTTGTGTGTTAAACACATGCATACCTTATAATGATTCCTTTGAACAAACGGACAAGGTAACTTATGACCCCCCCCTTTATAAACAGGCATATATATTCAGAGTGCTTACTGGTGACGGGCACATAGTTGACACACAAATATTTGCTGAGTACTAGAAAGAAAGTTCTGTGAGGGCAGGGGTTTTTGTCCATTGTTAACTGCTTTATCCCTGGCACCTGCTGGGGGCCTGCAGCTTGCAAGGCACTCACTAGATATTTGTTGAGCTAGGATTTGAAGCCGGTTTGGGCTGACTCCAAACCCATGCTCTAACCGTTGCGCTACTTCATTAAGGGCATTCCTTTAGGGCTTTTTAAATATACAATTTACTTATATCCCAACTACTTGTAAGAAGGAATCAAGAAATAGCAAAAAGGTTTCCCGAAGAACTAACCCTTTTACCAAGATGTTTATTTTAGTTAAGATTCATGGTTACCAATGAAATAAGCCAAACCCTGGGATGCCTGGGTGGCTCAGTTGGTTAAGCGTTCAACTCTTGATCTCACCTCAGATCTTGATCTCAGGGTCGTGAGATCGAGCCCCACATTGGGGCACCCAGCTTGGAGCCTACTTAAAAAAAAAAAAATGAAATAAGCCAAACTCTGAAGCAAAAAGGTGAATTTATGATAGGGTTACTTAGGTGTCTCATCAGATTCAAGCACGGAAAAGCCCCAGGCACAACCAGTACTATCTAATATGATGCTTTGGAGACGCCTGTCTCTTCTCTCATTGCAAACAGGCTTTTTCTATATGGTGGGAGACAAGGCTGCCATGTAGCACCTAAGCTCTACCTCTTAGAGCTTTTACATCAGAGAGATTGTGCTGATTCTTTCTCTAAAGTTCAAAAGTGCCGGGATATCTTACACCCATTAGGATGGCTCCTATCAAAAACCAGGAAATAACAGATGTGGATGAAGATGTGGAGAAATTGAAACCCTTGTGCAATGTTGGTGGGAATGCAAAATGGTACAGCTGCTATGGAAAACAGTATGGTGGTTCCTCAAGAAATCAAAAATAGAATTGCCAAATGATCCAGCAGTTAACCACTTCTGGGTGTGTACCCAAAAGAACTGAAAAGCAGGGTCCTTTTTTTCTTTTTTTTTTTTTAAGATTTATTTATTTGACAGAGAGAGAGAGCGAGAGAGGGAACACAAGCAGGGGGAGTAGGAGAGGGAGAAGCAGGCTTTCCACTGAGCAGGGAGCCTGATGTGGGGCTCGATCTCAGGACCCTGGGATCATGACCTGAGCCGAAGGCAGATGCTTAACGACTGAACCACCCAGGCACCCCCAAAAGCAGGGTCTTGAAGAGATTTTTGTACACCCATGTTCATAGCAGCATTATTCACAGCAGCCAAAAAAAAATGGAAATAACCCTCAAGTGTCCATGAACAGATAAATGGATAAACAAAATATGGTATATACATACAATGGAATGTTATTCAGCCTTAAGAAGGAAGGAAATTCTGACACATGGTCCAACATGGATGAACCTTGAGGATATTATGCTAAATAAGCCAGTCACAAAAAGGACAAATAGTGTATGATTCCACATATATGAGAGATCTAAAGTAGTCAAATTCATAGAGATAGAAAGTAGAATGGTGGCTGCCAAGGCCTGGAGAGTGGAGGAAATGGGGAATTGTTTAATGGGTATAGAGTTTCAAGTCTGCAAGACAAAAAAGTTCTGGAGATTAGTTGTGCAATAGTATGAAATGCTCAACACTACTGAACTATACACTTGAAAATGGTTTAAGATCATAGATTTTAGGGGCGCCTTGGTGGCTCAGTCGGTTAAGTGTCCGACTCTTGGTTTCAGCTCAGGTCATGATCTCTGGGTCCCGGGGTCAAGCCCTGCATGGGACTCCATGTGAAGCGGGGAGTCTGCTTGAGATTCTCTCTCTCACTCTCCCTCTGCCCCTTCCCCTACTCTAATAAAGTCTTTTTAAAAATCATAAATTTTATGTTATGTATATTTTACCACAATTTGAAAAAAAGAGTCCCAGGAAAGGGATTCATTATCCTCGATTGGGTCTGGTGCTTATCCTGAGGCCCATCAATCAACCAGGCTAGGGATGGAGTTTTGAAAGAATAGGGCGGCTCCCATGGAAACCAAATGGATGGAGTGGAGGTAGAGTGATTCCCAGAAGTAGGGTGTGTGAGTTGGGAGGGGAGGGCAACTGGACAGACAGGCAGTGGGTATCCACCACCGAGTTCCTGCCTTCTAGTCAACAAGACACTTGTCTTTCTAGCAGCAGGTGATTTGTGCTAACTCCACCTGGGTAGCACTTGCCATCATATTCATCATCAGACATGTCATGGTTAATCCTTACATATTTATAGCTTAGGACAGTTTTAACAAAGTTACATATCTCCTTCGTCCTTGCCAAAAATCTTTCAAGTAGGTTCTGCAAGTGAAACAGACTCCCACTATTTAAGTGACTTAATGTAGAGTTGGGGTCAGTTCAGTTGTAGGGGACTAAAAGCCAATGTGAATTAATTTAGGTAGAAAGAAAGATCTGCTGGCTCATGGGATCCAAGGACACATTGAACAACTGAGCCCCACTGAGGAGCAGGTAGGATGCAGGTGGGCATCGGGAAGAGCTGCCATCAGGGACTCCACACGACCAGCACTGTGTCTGCCCCTTTCTCTTCTCTGCCTGCTGACTTTGCTTTTTTCTCCACGCCAACAAGTTTTTCCTCACATGGTCACTGGAAGCTTCCACACCTCACATCTTAGAGCTTTGCTCCCCGGCAAAGGACACCTGACTCGCAAGCTTAACAATCCCAAGGAAGGAGGAAGGACTGCTAGTAGAGCTGAATTCTGTTCTTACCACGGGATTAAGAAGGAGAGTCGGTCACCTAAGAATATAGCTACTCCCCATTGAAATATATGACTAGTGGGGCTCCTGGCTAGCTCAGTCGGTTAAGTACACGACTCTTGATCTCAGGGTTGTAAGTTTGAGCCCCATGTCGGGAGTAGAGATTTCTTAAAAATCTTAAAAAACAGACAAACAAACAAAAAAACTATGATTAGAAAGAATGGGGCTGGGGGAAAAACAGTTTTTAAGAAAAGGGTGGGTGTGGGATTGATGCTGATAGACCAAACAATAGGTGTCCCCCAACTGAGACCCAGGGCAAGTAAGTGGCATATTAGGAGATGCCCAGGTCTGAATATAGTCCTGGGCACACACTAACTACTGAGTACTTCCCACACAAAAGGAAGGCCCTATCTGTGCAAGGCCCCAGGACAATGCATTCTCAGGTGTGAGGCTGGATCAGCCTCTGAGTCACCAGACATGGGGTGAAGCGAGACTTACGGAAAACCATTTAGACCTATGCCTTCTGCCTGAGCTTCCTTGTTACTATCAGGGGATTGAGGGATAAAGACCTTTATGTAACTTATTTTTGTGAATTCAGAAATGCCTCTGTGTCCTCCTAGATGTGCATAATGAGGTAGTGTCGCATGAAAACAGTGGTTTCTTGACAGCAGACGGAAGGGCCAGCCTACCCTCTCCAGCCTTCCACAGAATCTTCACATGCTTTTAGAAACTACCTTCTTGATACTGACACTCATGGCTTTCAATTGTTTTAAATGTCAGCAGGTAAAGGGTGCACAGAATTCAGTAGTCATTTGGTTCAGTTGTTTTCAAACTAGCTTTGGCTATGGATCCTTTTTCTCCCCCCAAGTAAAACCTTACCAAAACTCCTAACACATAACATAGATCGAAGCAGAGTGGCTTGGGGTCTTGGTGGGTCACAGGGGCCTCTGGACCCTCTGATTCAAGTCTCTTCACACTTTGAAAATCACTGATCTAGATTAGCCATTTTATTTTGCAGATGGAGAAATTAAGGCCCAGAAAGGTTAAGTGGGTCACCCACAAGAGCACCAATGGTGGCAGAGCCGACTGGTGCCCTGGTCTCCTAGCTCAGGAGTCAGGCTCTTTCTACCGTATCATGCTGCTTTTAGCTATTTTGAAAGAGCACTCCAACCAAGTAGTTGTGTTTTACTTCAGGTGCACGATACTTTGTTCAGGTGCAGGAACTGGACTAACACGAAGGCAAGTAGGGGACTTTGGGAGCCTAATCTAATAAACAGATAAGAGCTTTATAATTAGGAACTTCTGTTTGTTATTTTATTCAGCAGACTTAATGAGTGCTTACTATTCACCTTTCCAGGTGCTAGAGATGTATCAGTGAACAAGACAATTCCTGTCTTCAGAGAGATCGAGTCTTCCATGCTGTTTCAAGGGATGTGATAAATACTGTTATAGAGATGTTCAGGAAACATGAATGACCGTACCTGACCCAGTTCAGAGGCATCTGGGAAGGCTTTCTGAGGAAATGGCATCTAAGAAAACACCAGAAAAAGTAACGGGAGTGAGCCAGGTAGGGGAGTGTAGGAAAAAAAAAGCTGGAGGATTCTGCAGGAACCAGGTCATAGAAGAGCCTGCAAACCTTCAACCCGAAGATAACAACATCACATGTACTTACAGGAGAGATGATTCTGGTGCAATTCGGAGAATGAATTGGCTGGAGACAGCCAAGAGGCAGGGGGATGGTAAAGTAGAGCAGGTAGAACTCACAGGACTTGATGGTTGGTTAAATATGGGTGGTGAAGGAGAGGGAAGGGGTCAGGAGGAAGGCTTTCTCATCCGAGCAATTGATTGTTGGTGGTTCCTTTGGCCAAGATGGAGAGCACCGGAGGAAGAACAGGATTGGGCCCAGGGCAGAGGATGAGTTCACTTTGGGACTTGAGATAGAAGTGTCTGCGGAGAAGCCTAATGGAAAATTGTGAGGAACTGGATATTCAGGTTGAGCACAGTGAGCACTCTGGGCTGGAGATAGAGATCTCGAAGTCATCAGGTTTGGTGGTATTTGAAGCTGTGGAAGATGAGGTCACTGGGTCTGTAGTGAGAAGAGAAAGGTCTAGAACAGAGCTTGCGGAATAGTGACAATTGGAGAAGGGGAGCTTGTATCAGAAATGGAGGTGTAGTGAGAGAGCAGGGGAGAAACCAGGAAGCTGGGGTCGCAGAGGCCGAGTGGAAAGAGCTTTGAGAGTGGAGTAGTCAGCAGGGAAGAATGTGTAGAGAAGCCATGTCTGATAAGGAATAAGACGCATTCAGTGGCTTTTAGTGATGAGGACATTGTGGTAACCTTGGTAAGAGAAGGCCCAGCCCATGGTTAGAACGTGGAAGCCACATCTCCGTGGTTTGAAGTGAATGGGAGGAGAGTGGCCGGCGATAGTGAGGGTTGTCTGCTCCTTAAGTAATGAATGAAAGGAGAGAGGGTGGCTGCTAGTGGTTTAGGGTTGAAGGAAGTTGTTTTCCTTTTGCATGCTTAGGATCTCAGGATAGTGAGTTCGAACCCCATACTGGGTGTAGACATTACTTAAAAAAAAAAAAAAAGGATCTTAAATAAGTAAGTAAATAAATAAATAAAATAGATTTGGGGGAATGTCTATACCAATACAACAGAGCTCCTTCTTGATGCTCCTGCAGCTGGAGGTGACCCACTCGGCCAGTTCGTCTGGGACTTTCCTGGTGTTATCATTGAAAACCCCATGTCCTGGGAAACCCCCTCAGTCTGGGCAAACCAGGATGCTCCATAAGGATAAACCAGAAATATTCTGTAGTTGCCCAGAGCATGCTCTATCATTTCTCTGAAGATTTAGAGGAGCTACCTACCTTCGAAGAAGACCTATTGCAAGGAACAGAAGAAAAGGTAGGAAGGTAGGCAGTACCTGATTGATATTCCAGTCAACTTCAAAAAGTACACCATGAACTTAGAAACTGCAATCCTGCAAATGGAATAATCTGAGATAAAGAGGGAGGAGGAGATTACAACTGTGGCTCTTGAATTAAAAACTGAATGGAAGCATGCCAGCTTGAGCACAGTAGGTCTACTAAATACAGGAAATGGACTTCAGATGATCTCCTAGAGCACAGATGAAACCGATGAAGGTCGGAAAATAAAAGATGAGATCCGGAGGGCAGAACAATGAAAGGGATTTTAAGAATTCAAATGAATGTAAAAGTTAAAAAAATTTTTCAATTTAAAAATTTAAAAATAAATTAAAAATATTTCAAAAATAAAAATTTAAAAAAGAATTCAAATGAATGAACTCATGATTAATAATGAATAAAATAAATGAAAAGGCATTGAGTGCTTATTCTGTGACAAGCACTTTGTAAGCCATTCACATGTGTGAACACTTATTGCTCAACACCATGGGTACTATTATCCTCCCCATTTTGCATATGGGGAGACCGGTGCACAAGTAGGTTCAACACTTGCGCAAGTTGGGACGCCTGGGTGGCTCAGTCGTTAAGTGTCTGCCTTCAGCTCAGGTCATGATCCCAGGGTCCTGGGATTGAGCCCCGCATTGGGCTCCCTGCTCAGCGGGAAGCCTGCTTCTCCCTCTCCCGCTCCCCCTGCTTGTGTTCCTGCTCTTGCTATCTCTCTCTGTCAAATAAATAAAATCTTTAAAAACAACAACAACAAAAAACACTTGTGCCAATTTACACGGGTAGGAAGTGAGGGAGCTGGTGAATCCAGGCAGTCCAGCTTCAAAGCCTTCACTCTATAAAGTGTTGAGCCGCCAGGCCTACAAGGCCAAACGAAGTGATTTAGGGGTTTTTTGGTGTTTCCTCTGAGTGCCAGCCGAGTTCTGCTGCTGGGAAAATATCAAAGACCAAGACAGTAGATCCCTGCTCAAATAGAGCTTGCATTCTACTACACTACACTAGTAAACAAACAATTAAGAGAATGTCAGTAAGTGTTAAGTCCTATGAAGAAAAAACTGAAAAACAAGGTAGAGAGTCACTAATTATGTGTGTGTTGAGTAGGTGTTACTACTTTAGGTGGGATGACCAGGAAGATCCTCGGAAGAGATGACATCACCTGAGTTGAGAATGATGCGGAGTCAGCCTTGGAGCAAGAGGTAACAGCAAGTGCAAAGGTCCTGAGTTGGGATTGCATTTAGCATATTCGAAGACCAGCAAGAAGGCCATTGTACCTGTAGCAGAGTGAATGAGAGGGACATGTGTAAAAGAGAAATAACCAGGGGCTAGATCAGGTAAGGCCTGATGGGCCACAGTAAAGATTTGAGATTTTATTCTAATTGCAACTGAAGGAATTGAAGAGGGTTTTCTGTTGTTATGTTTTAGGTTTTGAATTTTGTTTTGTTTTGTCTGTTTTTAGCAGGGGAAGAATATAGCCTGATGTGCGTGTTAAAAGATTAGTCTAGCTGCTATGCGAAGAATAGACTGTAAGGTGATAAAGATGTGGAATGAGGAAGCAGGAAAAAGTTTAACGGATGTTCTGGCTGGAAGCAGGGCCTAGAGCTCAGGAGTTTTTGGTACGTTAATGGTTAATGCTAGCTGTCTCTCTGCCCTGGGGCATCCCCTCCCCAGTTTATCTAATCACAGTCCCTTACTGAGAGATGAGGATCCTCCCGTGGAAAAAAAAGATCAGAGACCCAAATACCCTTAGCGGGCAGCAATAGCCCAGTGGAGGACCCAAGGCTGGGCCAGTCAGACTCCTGAGAATTTCAAACTGCAACTCCGTCTTTGCTGGGTACCCTTAAACATGGACATGTAATTTTTTGGCACACGCACAAAATAAATATTTGTTGTATGAATAGGTGCATGGCCAAAAAGATCTGCAGAGGAGAAAGGATGCAGGTGTACGAGGGGAGAGAAGTTCCTGCTGACTCACTCCCTGGTTCCCGGTTTGGTTCCTGGTTTCTCATCCTCCTGAGGCCTAAGGTGCTTCCTTGGGTTTCTGGGGACCTTGTTTACTTAATAAAATGGAGGTTTTATTTTTGCCTTTGTGGATTTCTTTTATGTGCAACTCAAGGAACCCCAGTCCAGGGTGAGCACGTCGTTAAAGCTCCTGTCCTTCATGGCCACATCGGTCACATTTGTGGCTAGCACGCACCCCTGTATCTCAGGGCCTCACCCACTCAGGGCTTGGTTGCCTATTTCTGTTTTTTCTAGTTTCATGGGCCTGTAATACTATCTTAAGTTAATTGAATTTGCTTTTATTTTATTTACTGGTAAGACTCAACATTTTCCTGAGATAACTTCATATTCATATTGTTTGCATATTAAGGTCTCTCTGACTGGACGCCAGTGTTACAGTTAATGTAGTTATTCAGTTATTCAGATGCTAAATGTGTATCTGGGTGTTTGGTTTTGGCCTACGTGGTTTCCCTTTCCTTTTTATAGTCTACGGAGGATAAGATACAAATTAATCCATTCACCAAGCAGCCTCTGAATTCCCACTATATAGGTATATACGCAAGATGAGTATGTCAGGGTCCCCCCCACCCCCCGCCCTTCTTTTGCCCACCCCCTAGAAGTTGGTTTCCCTGGCCCTCCTCTCTCTCAGGCCACAAGCCCTCCCTGAATGATCTCATCTGCTCTCAGGCCTTAGCTCACACCCGTTCTGCAGGATGAGCAGGCTTTTTCTTTTTTTAACTGATAACGTGATTTCTACCCCATGCACTTTGTATTCAGTGTTTGAATGTTTAGTTTGACCCATGGAAAACTCCACTGAGATATTTGTCACTGTCGGAAACACGTTGGTGCTGTCCACAGGTGTACCTTGAGTTAAACTGGCTTATCCACTAAACTGCATCTTCAAGTGGACAATGGGACAGGGGGGCGCTCACCCAGAAGCAACTCAGCAGAGCGGACCTGCTTGGACCTTTGCCCCGTGGCTGCCCTGCAAGGCCCTGGCGGCCATGAGGACACACGGGGCACCTCTTTGGAAGAGTCTGTTTGACTTCTCCTATCTGGAGTCAGTTTGCCACCCGGTCCAAACTGGGGTGTGAGGAGGATGTGAGGACAGGTGTGTCAGTGGTCAACAACTGCATTTAGGAGAGACTTTCTTCTTCTTCTTCTTCTTCGTCGTCGTCGTCATCTTCTTTTTTGTCAGAGAGAGAGAGCGAGAGAGCACAAGCAGGGGGAGCGGCAGGCAGGCTGTCAAGCAGGGAGCCTAACTCCGGACTTGATCCCAGGAGCCTGCGGAGCAAAAGGCAGATGCTTAACCGACTGAGCCACCCAGGCATCTCTAGGAGTGACTTTCAACCCCACAGCACAGGGTATGAGCTGGAAGAGGAAACCCACGTCTGTGGCTGCAAGGGTCTCCCTAAAAGTGTCAGACCAAAGCCTGTGCACACAGGTGGCTGTTATCTCTGTCCGAGGCTCCGGACCTTTCTCCTGGACGTCTCCCCAGGCATCCCATGGCACTTTAAACATACATTCCAGACTGAACATGCCACCGTTCTTCCACTATTCCCCAAACTGCCCTTTCCTTGCTAGTCTCAGTTCTGACTGTAACGCTCTCGCCACCAGCCCCATTACCCAAGCCAAGATCCTGGCTGTCATCCTCCACCCTTTCTGTGACCCTTCCCTTTCCTTCTTTTGGAACTGTGGAGCAATGCAGCAGGGCCCCCAGTGACCACTGAGCTCAATGCAAACAGGCTCCTAAAGTGACCCACCTCTAAATAGCCATAGACCCTCACTGACCAGTTACGAGCAGGCATAGTTCCTAAGATCCCCCAAAAGGGAAAAATTCCGTATGTCCTCATACACCTTATAACTGCGGCCCCTCGCCACCGCCTCAGGGTGAACAGTCTCTCCTCTGCTGGCCTGTCCACTGCTTCCTTGTGGTGTATTCAACACACTTCTCTTCTGTTCTGCGTTGGGTGAATTCTGTCACCATCTGCGAAGCTGGCCTCCACCGGATCAGGGCACCCCACATTTGGTGGCCCCCCATCCAACTGGGACACCCCCCAGTAATTACCTGGTCACCAGGTTTTATCCTCTGTATTTATTTCCTACTGCTGATAAAATAAATAACTACAAACTTACTGGCTTAAAACAACACAAATTTATTATCTGACAGTTTGAAATGAGTTTTATGAGGCTAAAATCAAGGTGTCAGCCGGGCTGGTTCCTTCTGGAGCTTCTAAAGGAAAATCCGTTCCTTGTCTCAGCCTCTAGAGGCCACCCGCACTCCTGGGCTCACCACCTCAGTCTCTCCCTTCCTGTCACTTGCCTTCTTCCCACTCCTCTGATCTCTCCTTCTCTAACAGGGACCCTTGAGATCGACATAGGGCCCATCCAGATAACCAAGATAATCCCAATAAGGTGACATTCACAGGTTCCAGGCATTAGGATGTGGATGTCTTACACACCATCCTTACCCACCCAACATTCCTGGAACCCATGGGTTCCAACTGTCGCTCTTCAGAGCACATTGTCTCTCATCTAGGTTGTTAAAACCACCTCCTAGTCGATGGGCTCTTGATGCATGACCCAAATCGTGCAGTGGGTTCTTTGCTTCTGGTCCTGCCCCCCTCCAATCCATTATGCTTTTCTCTTTTTTCTTATTAAAGATTTTATTCATCCATTTGACAGAGAGACACAGCGAGAGAGGGAACACAAGCAGGGGGAGTGGGGGAGGGAGAAGCAGGCTTCCCGCGGAGCAGGGAGCCCGACGCGGGGCTCGATCCCAGGACCTTGGGATCATGACCTGAGCCGAAGGCAGGCGCTTAATGACTGAGCCACCCAGACGCCCCTATGCTTTTTTTTTTTTTTTAAGACTGACTTTATTTGAGAGAGAGAGAGAAAGAGCACGTGAGTGGGGCAGGGGGGAGGAGCATAGGGAGGGGGACAAGTAGACGCCACGCTGAGTGGGGAACCTGATGTGGGCCTCGATCTCACGATCCTGAGATCATGACCTGAGCCAAAATCAAGAATCAGATGCTCAACTGACTAAGCCACCCAGGCGTCCCTAATCCATTATGCTTCTAATTGCATCTCGTTTGTCTCTCTCTTAGTTAAAAGTTTCTACGGACTCCCCTTTACTCTCAGGATAAAGTCACAGCTCCTGAGATGGCATACGAGGTCTTCTGTGGCCTTTCTTCGGCTCACTCTTTCAGCCAAATCTCCTACAAACCATTACAAAGCCAATTGGAACTTCTCAAGACAGAACAGTGTGGATTACAGAGCTTCTGAAGCCATCCTCCTCAGCTGTG